GACCTGAAATGCTTTCCATATCATTTGTAGTGAGTAAATCTTCCCAAATCGTATCATGCATATCATTGGACCTATGCAGTTCATGCTAATATTAATAAATGTTAATGATTGACCTTTTTTTTTTAAATACAAAAACTATTTTAGTAGTGTATTTGGTTGCCACTTGATGTCAGTGTAAAAACCAGCTGAGAACTACTATCATAAACCCTTACAGAACACCATGACAGATGTTTCCTACAATGCAATTCAAATCTGTAGCATAAATAGCATGAATTGAGTAGCTAGCTAATAAGAGTGAAACTTCCATACTGCCTTTCACCAAAAAAAGTTATAATGATAAGAAACTTGTCTTAAATGATGTATATTTCACTAAAGACGTTTAAAACTGAGAAATATGTACTTATATGTAGCTTTTTACATCAGAGGTCACAATTTTGAGGTCTTTGGGTGGATGGGGATTATTACAGATGTACCTTCCTGTATGAAGATTAATAATACTGTCACTGAACTCATATCCATCATGTAATGATTCTGGTAAATGAATGCTTTGAGCCTCGAGGTACTATTGGTACGAACAGAATCTATGACTTTATACTAACAGTATCTATGGCTATATAACCGTTTCTGGTATACACACAAGTTGTCTTCACCTGATGTCTTTTAGTGTCATTTTCAACAAACAGCACAAAGTAGACTTCTGATCAAAGTGACTAAATCATAGTAGACATATTTGCTTGCAGGCGGCTGACTAGCGTTGTGGCAGTGATCTTTGTAGTGTGGTTTTAAGACCTGGCATTAGTTGTTGCGGAGTCTCAGTGTTTGGGAATATCTGCAGTATCCCAAGGTCGTTCCAGTGCCGTTTTCTGCTATCCTGTTGATAGACTCAGAACTCCGTGGTAGCACAACTGAATGTTCAATGTATCAGTGGTCAGCTGACTTTCTATAAGACAGTGCATGCTACACCGTGATTTGTCTTTGAAATAAACGTGCTATTTGTCCTGTACTGCATTGGAAGGTTTGTTACTTTGATGAAATGGAATTTGAAAACGTGTTTCACATCAGAAGGAGCAAATTTATTTTTCTCTTCCACTCAGCACTTGTAAATGATGTAATATGTACAGATTGTGTATTTGCATGTCTGTGGCAGTAGATTCTGCATGCCGAGTGATAGAAACCAGTGGTAGATTTTAGCTCCTTTGACAATTTCGTACGATTAGACTTTGCATGATTTGTCCAACTCCAAGTTTATTTTTGCATTTTCACGTGTTGAAAATGAAGACCAATTTCATTTAGGTTCTCTTTTAATTTGTTTTATCTGTTCACTCAGTTACTTTGGCTGTGGATGAAACTTATGATTTGAAAGTGTCCAGAATATTTCCAAATATGCAATCAGAGTAAATAGCAACTTGTGGAAAGCCCAGGCTTTCCCCAAATGGACCTTATTATGAATTATTATATAAAATGTTTCACTTTATCAGTGAATTTTGAATGTCACATTGTTTTAATTTAAAGGAATAGTTTTATAATAAATTATATTATATTAGTATAATAAAATTATAATTTTCTGAAAATATATTCACCATCAGGGCTCAGGCCATTCAAGATGTAGATGAGTTTGTTTTTTCAGATTTGGATAAATTTAACATTAATTCACTAGCTCACCAATTAATCCTCTGCAGTGAATGGGTGCCGTCAGAATGAGAGTACAAGCGGCTGATAAAAACATCACAATAATCCACATGTGCCACTGTATTATGGTCTTGTGAAGTGAAAAGCAGCGTTTTTGTAGGAAACAAATGCATCATTAAGGCATTTTAACTTTAAACCATCACTTTTGGCCAAAATATGAGTCCATAATTCATTATAATGCTTCCTCTAGTGAAAAAGTCCATCCCTTGTTGTCCCCTCACATCAAATTCCAAGACATATTTGTTTAGAACTGTTGCTTGATCTGAGCATATTTCTCTCCTGATTCAGAGGAGATGACTTTTTCACTGGATAAAACAATATCACGGATAGAGGACTCATATTTTAGCTGGAAGCATTGGTTTGAAGTTAAAACCCCTTTATGATGGATTTGTTTCTTAAGAACACACAGATTTTCACTTCATAAGGCATTAATTGACGGACTTAGAGTCGTGTGGATTTCTTGTGATGTTTTTATCAGCTGTTTGGACTCTCATGCTGACGGCACCCATTCACTGCAGAGGACCCATTGGTGAGCAAGTGATGTAGTGCTAAACTTCTCAAAATCTTTTAAGATGGAAAAAATAAACAAACTCATCTACATCTTGGGTGGCCTGAGGGTGAGTACATTTTCAGCAGATTTTCATTTTTGAGTGAACTATTCTTTTAAGTCCTTTCTGTACAATCCCATCCAGGCCAGTTCTCTCTTCTGTCCTGTTAATCTTGTAATTAAAGTCTTTTGGTTTTTGAGAGAATTGCAAATTGTACAGACTAACAAAATCATTAGAAATGCATTTGTAAATGGCGCTTTACTGGATGGTTAATGTATGAAGATGTCGGTATGTGTTGTAGCGATGCTGCTGCGTGTCTGTATGTACGTGTGTAACTGTAACTGTTCTGTACAGTGTCTTTGACATGTTTACATGTTGTCTTGCCTTAACAGGCATTTATTTAAAAAATAATAATGAAATTTGAAGTATTTTGGTAACCATGTATATTTTGTAAATGAACAGGAACTAATAAAGTAGTTTATCCAGAGCATCGTGATCTAATGTATGTGCTCGTTTATTTCTATCAGATCAGTGAATTGCTTTTAGCTTGTTTTTGTTTCAGGCTGTTGTTGAATCATAAGGTGAGATGATATCCATGGCTTTCACTAAATGATGAACAGATGTCCCCCTTAATTTATCTAGTCTTTCTTCTGACATTCACATTTGTTTTATTTGTCAGTTCACATCGAAGCATGCTGAGGTTCTGAGTCATGGCTGTGACTTCATTGTAAGTATATGAACCTCTTCTATTTCTGGGTTTTGTGTGTCAGGTTTCTTTTCCGTTTTAAATTTTTTTTAATGTTTTTTTTTGTTTTGTCTATGACACATGAAATATGGTGTCCATGGGGGTCTTACTTTTCCAGTAATAGTGAACCATATGCCTGTATATGGTTTAGTCACAGTTCACCACAGGAGCAAACAGTGAATTAAAATAACTCATTCTGTCTAACTGTTACACATTTACTGTATATACATTCCAGTTCAGACCCATAATATCTCACAGTGTGTTATTGTAACGAATTCAGTCATATGACTACACTATAACATTACTTTGTGTTAGATGTTTGTAATATTTTCATAAAATGTTTAAACCATGTTTTGAGAGAGTGTGTAACATGTCAAATGATACAAGCTTTCAGGTTGTGACATTTGACAGCACTGTGACCTGAGGTCATGAACTAGTTTGTAAGCAGGGGCTGAAATTATGACATCATTGTTTACATGATATGGCCATGTCTCGGTAACAATGTTTTGTGTCAAAAGTCTAATGTCTAAGTATGGGCAGTTGTGGCCTAATGGTTAGAGTCGGACTTCTAATCCAAAGGTTGCAGGTTCAAGTCTCAGGTCCGCAGGAATTGTCGGTGGGTGGGTGGGGAATAACCAACACTCTCTTCCACCCTCAATACCATGACTGAGGTGAGGCCCTTGAGCAAGGCACCGAACCCCCAACTACTGCTCCAGGTGTGTGTTCACGGTGTGTGTGTTCACTACTGTGTGTGTGCACTTGGATGGGTTTAATGCAGAGCCCAAATTCTGAGGATGGGTCACCATACTTGGCCACATATCACCTCACTTCACTTTTCACTTTAATGGCACAAACACTAAACTAGCCCAGGTCTGAATTATATATTTTAATCACACACTCTAAAAAATCGCTGGGTTAAAAAGGGACAAACCCAGCTATTGGGTTGTTTTGACCCAGCGACTGGGTTCAAAACAACCCAACCGCTGGGTCAAAACAACCCAATAGCTGGGTTTGTCCCTTTTTAACCTAGCGTTGGGTTATATTTAACCCAGCATGTTTTAGAGTGCACAGTCCATAGCCTCTAGGTAGGATATACCTTATAAACTAATTTAATGCAATCATTAATCATATTTTAGTGCCAAATTAATGAAATCGAAATTAAATCCTCATCATGCATAAAATGTTAAATAGTTCTGGATATATCTTTATCACTATAGTGCTTTTTGAACATTCAGACCTCACTGAAGGTTGTTCTTACACTACATGGAGCAGACTCCATGCAAACCGCATAATAATACATATTTAATATGGGTCATCAACTGTACATTTGAACTGTTTTATAAACTGACCGAACACATTCGGAAACCTTGCACAGGTTCGATGACTAAATTGTAATGTACACTGAAAAAAAAGGTACAATTTTTGTACCAAAAATCAATTTTTTTACTCAGAAATTGCTAGTCAATTACACCTTGAAGTAGAATAACTTGTAAAATATATATATATATATATATAATCAATTTAATGACGTAGACCTATACAGTTAAGAACTGTGACATGCAAAATCACTAGCTAAATTGAACAAAAAATGTTTTACAGTGTATGACTTCATTGACTGGAATAGAGGTTTTGTCAACTGCAGCCAAAATATTGTTTATTATTAAACTGCCATACTATTTATTATTTATTAATAAACAGCCTGTCATCCCTTTTCCATATATTTTTAGCATACTGTGTTAAATTGTCTCACTGACATAATAATGCTGTCATTTGCTTTTTCCAGCCCCAAATGTTAAAAAGAGCCCAAGTTTTACAACAAGCGCAACTCCAGCCCCACACGTGCCCAATTTGGGGTTCCTAAAAATAAAAATGACAGTCACAACTGTCGCGGCGCTCGGGGTCTGTCCAATCCCCTTCCCCGCTGCGCGCTTCGCCCAATCGGGCGCCGGTATCACTATCTCGGTCAGATTAGAGAATCCCCCATCCATCGCGCAGTTGTATATGGTCAGGATGACAGCAGCATACCAGGAGATCCAGCAGACTGACGTGTGAGCCCTGCCGGAGGGGTCTCAGAGTTTTAAAGCGCCTCATACTTCATTTAACCATTCAAGTAAATGAAGACGCGTCTCTTTTCCCGTCTTTCCTTTTATTTCGTACGTGAATAAAGCAGGAGCGAACTTTTTCTGACGGCGTGCGTTCTGAAAAGTATCGGCTGGAAGAATTTAAAATTGAACGGGAAACTTTCGCTCCGCCACCGTTCTTAGTTAGTTCAAAGCTGGTTTCTGTCCGAAGAAACACGTCTATCCCTGCCCTTTTCGCACGCGCTTCCAACTCTCAAACTTTCTTTCGTTTTCTTTCCTTCTTTTTTTTCCCCTCAGAAGTGCGTGCGCGCGCGCTTGTCCCACTCCCCCTCGCGCTGTAAAAACTCGCCAATTGTCGCATAAAAGGGGGGCACGAGAACTTCGGAAAAACATGATGAGCAATAATACATACTACGACCAGCAGCTGCCGCCGCAGTATTACCAGGGCACCGACAACGGTGAGGACGGAGACGAGGAGATGCCGGCCACGGAGAAGGACCTGGCGGAGGATGCGCCCTGGAAGAAGATCCAGCAGAACACCTTCACCAGGTGGTGCAACGAACACCTGAAATGCCTCAACAAAAAGATCAACGACCTGCAGAAGGACCTGAGCGACGGGCTCAAGCTCATCGGGCTCCTGGAAGTTCTCAGCCAAAAGAAAATGTACAGAAAGTACCACGCCAGACCCAATTTCAGGCAGATGAAGCTGGAGAACGTGTCCGTCGCGCTAGAGTTTTTAGAACGGGAACACATCAAACTAGTGTCTATAGGTAAGTGCTGTTTTATTGCATAAATATGCGCTCAGCTCGGTGGCAGTCGCGCTTTGGTGCGATTTTATGCCATTTAGCTAACCATAACTAGCCTATTTTAAGGATATCAAAAACAAACAAAAAGGGTATTGTGATGTGTAAATCTTTAATTAAGTGACAAGTGATGATATACTGTTCGATAACGGAACGCTTATTGTTGCTATGGTTACCTCATCAGTCTAAATTCGCAAGCGTTTACTTAGCACACTATGACTTGTAATCTGACTTTTGTGGCTAGTGAAACGTTCGTTGAAACGCTTGAATCCTATACTTTCACGTATAAAGGAAACGTACTTTTAAAAAGCCTCCTCGACTGTTTGTTTGAACGTTCTGTGGGGGGGCTCAAGCTTTAATTAGGGGGGTCAGACCACACAAACTACCATAATTAGCTATCATAATGGGTCTGTTTTCCATTTTAACTGTAAATATTGATTCTCATTTGTTGTAATTCCATTAATTATAATTTTGGAAGTTGTAAATAATTATTTTAGATTGCCCACACTCATTTTTCTTTGAATGGACAGCTGAAGGCTGAACGAACATGTGATCATGGACCATACAGATATCCATAAAGAATGTGAATGATTTTTGCCTTTTGTGCATAATAATGTGCTCATTAAAGACACAATATAATGCTTTTCATCACTAAATATTAGGCCAATATACAGTTTGACAGATTAGTAGTGCATGTGCATTCCAATTATGAATCAAAGTATCATGATATTTGTTTGAATGTGCATTAAATATGACTAATATATACAATGTTATAATATATGTTAATGTTATACATCAAATAGTTTGAAACATCATATGTGCATTATCTGTTGACATGATAGGTGTTGGCTGATGCAGATAATCTCAAAGTGACCAATATTGGCTGATATATAAATATATAATTATCATTAATTTGAATCTTATTGTTTTCTGTGATCTGACATCCTGTCCATATGGACAAAATTATATGAGGCAAAACCAGATCCTAGGACAGCATTAGTACATTTTGGGGTGCATTTTGTACCCCTGGGCTTCAGGACACGGTCCCAAACCCAGCTCAGGATCAATATTATGAATTTGTGGATCCATCTCATTTGGAAAGGACCTGCAGGCATGAAATGATCATTGATTAGAGTTTAGCCTTAATTTGTGAAACATGGAAGGATTTTTGGGAATTTGTTTTTGTTATTGCATTTATCTATTATATTTATATTCCAGTGCTTTTAGTGGTAGACTGACAGTCTGATTCTAAACTAATGCCCAATCATCAGTAAAAGGCTGTAAATTTGGCTGATTTAAGAGAACTTAATTATGTTTCATCGTAATTCACCAAATATTATCAGACATATAAATCAAAAAGTACAATGCCTGTTTCTGGATCTTCTATAAAATGACTCTGGGATCTGTTTAAAGGTCAGTGCTGTATTTTTGCAGTGGCAAAAGCCTTATATTGTTCTGATGTCTAAGTGGGTGTCAGGGACCGGCAGCATGGCATTCTTTCAAAACAACTAGACGTACAACAGACAAAGGGCAATGTTCATTCCTATTACTGTTATGGAACTGATATGTTCATAATAAATACTATATTTGACCAATGATTATTTGATTGGTCTTTGACTGCAGATGTGGTCCTCCTATACTGGTTTTGGGGGAAGGAGCCAACCGTCTCACATGCTGGCACATAACGGTAGTGCTTTCAGCCCAGCTGTCATTGGCAATGAGACGGATCTTTCCAGAAAGGCACCTGCCTCTCAAACTCCCCTTATGCAAGAGTGTAGGGTGACAGAGGTGCAGGAAAAACTCTTGCACCCTTATCCAAGAAACCGTGTGTGTGTGTGTGTGTGTGTGTGTGTGAACTGTGTCACATGGGGGTTGGCCTGCTGCCACTACAGGAAATACCACTCACCTCATTTATTTTATCACTACGCACTCAGTCACTCATGCTGATGTACCATAAAGTGTGAGAATATATACATTTACATTTACATGTATGTATGAAAACAATACGGAGCACCTCAAGGACATGGTGATGATAACAAAAAAAAACAAAAAAAAATGAAATGGGAGGAAAACACAAATATTTTGTGAGAGAATGCAATGTTTCTTGGGGGAATGGAAAACGGTTTGTGCGAGAAAGGTTCTTTTATAATTTACTTATTTATTTGTTTTACTTAATTATATTTTTATTTGAATGTATTTATTTGTAATTATTAGTAGTAGTATTGTTGTTATTATATACATTTTTTATTCTTGCAATTTCAACAAAATGTAATGTAAACGTAAAAAATGTAACAAAACAAAACAAAAAACATTACATTTGAACAATGTTCATCACAATGCTTTTGTAATGGAAATAATATGAGATGGAAAAACTATATTTCAGTACTTTTGCGAGCAATATAGCTCTACCAGGTTCAGTGATTTTATATTAAATATAATATAGTTGAAATGCATAAAATAATGCTGATAGTTTCTTTGCATATTGAGAAGTGAACAAGCAGTTTGTGGAAAAATAGGAGTAGAATACCTGTGAGTTTTGGGTGTAAGTGATGAATGATGATAGCTTTGGGACAGGGTCTTCAGCGTTTAGCCCCTGAGTGAGTGAATGATTGATAGATAGACAGCTGCGCTCTGGGGTCCATCTAGTAACAGGTGCTTTAAATAGTCCTACAGACCCAGAGAGCCGGGACAGAGGGGGTTGCTGGAGGAATTTTGGATAGTTAGTTAGGGAGAGAAAGAGTGAGTCAGGGGATAGAGATGATGAGCACATGATTAACAAAATTGATTGGATGAGTGTCCCCCTTTTCTTGAGGATTTTTTTTCTACTTCAGCAGTTCAGATCTTCACTGGCTCTGCCAAAAATATGATTAATAGTTCATTTTAGCAACATAATTTGTTAAAAGGCTGTCAGTCAATTAAAATAATATTTTTGCTACATAATATTCGCTGTAAAATAAATAATACATTATTTATTTGCTCTTTAATAAATTGTCCGTAAATAAGGAAAATGTAATTTTTTATATTATCTTTATAATTATTTTATTTATATCAGATATTACAACAGCAAAATGTTGTCTTCAACCTTGACATTTGTAAATAAGCACACTGTGATTTTTAAAATTATTTTTGTTTAAATTAAAAAATATATATATTTTTTATATTTTAATTTAATTACATTTTGTTATTGTTATTCATTCAGTGTTGCAGTTTCAACAAAATGTTGTTTTCAACCTTGACATTTGACAATAAACAGACTTTGTGATAGATTGAACAGCAATAACAATGTTCAGTTTACCACAAAACTATATGTTTATATTTGCAAGACTTAAAATCACATGCACATGATCAGTGGAGGATGTAGTGACAATTTAGTACTTGGGCTGTCTCTCTGTTTCCCTCTGAAGTGAATGCCCCTCTTCACAAAGTGAATTCAGTTCCCTATTGACATGCTTTATCCCAGAGGGGAAATTTCATTTGATTTAAATTGAAGTCATAGCATGTTTTCCTGTGCTTTAGTGGCTTCATCAGCACAGTGACTTATCTCTGCCAAGTCGTGCTCTGTTTCTCTGCATGTAACACTTTCCTGGCCCATAAACCAGAGCTTTCCAGGTTTTATCGATTCGCCCCTCTAGTACACCTCTGACATTGTTTCTGGTGGACATTGCGTGTTATAATTTTTGGTCTGTTCCCAGAGTTTATCTCCAGATTCAGCTCTATGTAATCTTTGGCCACGAAAAGAAGGATTTCCATCCAGAATAATCAGAGAGTCAGGCTTTCTTTTTCTGAACAACAACAAGCAGTCTTTCTTGCAAACATGGTCTCCCTCTTTCTCTCTCGTGTCCTTCTGCTTTCTGCATATAACAGCGTCTTTAATTGTTACCATGTGTCACGGGCTAGTCAGTCCGCTGGAATGTTCAAGCACAGCCAGTGAACACCCCCTACACACACTCACTCCCTCCAGAGACTCGACGTTGACCGCTGTGGTGCTTTTCTCAATTTGTCCCACTTGGTTTATTAATATCTCTGGTAATGAAAGCCTAAAATGCACTTTTTTGCAAACTGTTGCATATCAAGGCTACAGATGGCCCAGGTGCATCCTGGGTAGGTGGATATCAGGTGTTTGTGTGGAACGGTTGTGCAACAGCTCTTAGTTCCTTTGTTCGAATGAGGGAAACTCAACATGTGGTGTTAAACAAGGCCAGTATTTATTTCTAATTGGTTGTATTTGGATTATTAATCACTCTAAATTACAAAAAGGCACTTTGAGATCATACACAAACTATTAGAGAATTTGTTTAAAGGTTTATAGCTTCGGAAAGCTTTGGATTCTAACGCTGCGATGATTGAATTCAGTTCATGACAGCAAAAGGCCTCACGGTATCAGAAAGGGTTTATTCAGGATATCTCTAGACTCTCGCTGTGGAATCTTCTGTTACTGTATAAATGCAACCCCATCCTAAAACTCCAGGACCATGTGGGAGATCAGAAAATGATGGAAAGCAGACGAGGGAAAAAAGGGCAAGTCACTTTTGATTATGAATGGGGTGCTGGAAGGCTGACTGGGACTTCATCTGTGCTGTAAGTGATATCTGAACCTCTCCAGTGTTTTCAGCTGCTCTTGGTGCTGTTTGGATAGAGTTACACATTGTAGAACATGCTTTTTTATTTTAATGCATGTCTAAGATTCAGAATCAACAGGTTGCTTAACTTAGAGGTAGTTCAAACAAAAATGAAAATTCTGTCATCCTTTAATCACCCTATCATCATATGCTGTTCTAAACCTGTATGACTTTTTCACCAAACACCAAAAAAAGAAAAAAACTATTAATATAAATACATATGAAGGTGAGTAAATAATGACAAATTGTAATTTTTTTTTAACTATGTGAACTGTTCGTCTGTGGAACACAAAATAATTTATTGAAAAAATTTTTTTGGACCCCATAGACTTTCATTGTATAGGCAAA